CAAATTAATGTAATTACAAGTGAATATTTTTATTGTGAATATAAAAATAATATTTAAATAAGGTATAAAATAGTATTTTAATAAACCAGAGAATCGATCATTTTTAACACATCTCTATATCTGATATTCTCAATTTTTTATACAATACAATCCATCAATATAATGTTTATCTTTCTTATTTTTTTACGTAATAAATGTAACATTAATATTAAAATATGAACGCAACTCCGTAGAATAACTTTTTATCTTACTTTGAAATTTATTTTAATTTTGAATAAATCGGTGAATATTGTTATTTATTTATATAAATAGTTTGAACTTACGATAAATTTTTCATGGTTATCATTTTTGATAAAATTAAAAATATTAAAAGAAAGAAAAAGAGTATTATTGATAGAATATCTCTCTATTACTTTAAAATGGATGGACCACGACAAATTATAATTAATATTAAGTGTAGAATATGCGTAATTTTCTAATCGTTGACTTATTGTCGATTTGAATGACGGAGATTTTTGCAAAAAAAAATTATCTTTAAATCCAATAAAGATATACGTATATTAAACATTCTGTTTATAAGAAAAGGTTTACAAAAAAATGGAAATGGTAATTAAGAATACTATAAAGATATGATGTATTAATAATGTTATTTAGACTATTTTAAATAATATATCACATATTTTTTTGTTTGATTATATTTTCGAAAATATTCACTGTTATAAATTTATATTCTGTAGTGTTAAAGTTATAACTTAACGTGAGTCGCTACTGCTCTTACTCAATCATATCGTTATTTTATACTAAAATAATGGTTACATTTGACACTATGTAATGTCAAATTGGACGAGTTCAAGACGGCAAAGCGGCTAGGCATGCTTACCGAGCGATTGAATATGATTGGTTGGATCTATAAGTAACAACTAATTATGCTCATTTGCTCGGCAAGCAGGCTAGTCGTTTTGTCAATTTGAACGCGCCCGTTGACACGATATAGTGCAAAAATTAGTTATCATTTTAGTAAAAAATAATATTTAGTAGGAGCAGTGGCGATTCGTATTAAGTTAAATTTTTGACACTACAGATTTAACAGTGTTGAAAAAAATAAAAAATAAAAAAAGAGAAAAAAGAAAAATTACAATAAGTAAAATTATCTGACATTTTTAGAACGTAAAACTGTAATTATTATAATTATAATTATTTTAATTATTTTTATAATGTTTATATTTTACAATAAAAAACAATTTTATAAAATACGGTAGAGAAACATTGTTTGTTTAGACATGTTATTTCAATTCTTTTTTCTTTTCGGAAATATTTTTAATAACTTTTAAAGTTTTTGCATTTTGTCTTTCTATATTCTTTTGCAGAGAAAATGTTATAAAAGATGAAGAAGAATCTTTCTCGAAGAGAAAGAATCTTTTCAATATATTATTAAAGTATGAATAAAAAAATAGACAATATTTTTTATATTTTCTTTAATTCACATATATTTTTTGAACATAGTATTATAAACAGTATATAATTTATTTTTGAAAAAAGAAATAATATGCTAATGATTATTAATAAATATTAAGTTTTACATTATATGCGCCAATTTTATTCTAATTTTTCCTAATTTGTCCATTCACATTTATTGATAATTTTTTATTATTTAAAACAAAATAAACAATATCCAATAAATATTTTTTTTACAAAACGGAAGAGTATTTTAAGAAAATTCGTTTATACAGCAAGAATTATTTACGTTATATTAAAGTACTTGTTATATTAACATAGCTTATATTTTTTTAATCATGTCAGAAAGAAATTTGATATGGTATTGACAATATAATAACGAGATATTTACGTTGAAACAAGCTAAAACAAAGACGCATATCGGAAACATGAGATCTTTCTGGTAACAATATCACTTGCGCGAAAAATGGTCTGTTATTCTCGATTTTATGTTACCTCTTGTTTGTACAGATTGAATTTCAGATGTTACAACGAGTAACTGACATTAGCATTTTTTATTTCATGAGTTTTCTTGTTTATAATACTATTGTATCAGTACTTTTGCAGGATTGCCACAGACCTGGAAAACCGGGAAATTCAGGGAAATTGAAATTGGTCGTGGAAACCGGGAAACGTAAAATGTAAAAAAGTCTGGAATTTTGAAATTTGCTCACAATTCCCTGAAAGTGTTCCTATTCCAAATAATTGTTATAATTTTTTAAATTATATATGACGTTTACAGTCAAATACGTTCAAAATTTGTGCATTTTAAACAATTTTAATAAAATAATTAAAATTATATTTAATTCAGTGTTTTTATTTGTTCCCTCTTTTTTGTCATAACTACATTCTTTTTTTCCAAAACTAATTTATTTTTTGCTGTGACTTGAATTTGCATCAAAAATTGTACTATGCTACTAAGCTTTTTTTGCGTTGTTTTTAATAATATAGACTAGCCTTCCTATACAATCCGTTAGTTTAAATGTTAAAATACATATTTTATATTACTCATGGAAAATTTTCTATTTTCATCTGGAAAACCTGGAAAAGTCAGGGAATTTTAAAATTTATTTTTTGTGGCAACCCTGTTTTATTACATTAATGTATAATGTCGTCAATGAACTACGAACGAATCTGTAATTTAAAAAACTAACCGAATTGCGGGGAAAACTGATGGTACAATGGCGCGAAAACGGAAGGCTTTCTTCTAAAGAATGAAACTATAACTGGAATCTAGGTGGAAACGAGCTTCGAATACGATATGAATTAAACAAGAAAAAGATTTTCTAGAGCTCGATTTGCAAGAAATTAATATACGAAATGGGAGATCCCTACGAAGATACGAAGTGGATCGAATTATTGCCTTGCGAGACTGGATAAAACCGAAATCCATGATTCATAATTGGAAAGCAGTCCGTAGAAAACCTCGTCGGATTGTTTCAGCGAGAAGATTGTGACCGTTCACAGATTATAGGCGAATGTTCACATTCTCCTTGAAACAACCCCAATCTCATCTTTTGGGAAGTATAAGGAAATTTTCCTACCGGATTTCCTCAAACGAGGCTAGAAAAGCCAAAAACAATTCAAGAAGCGGCCGACGAAGCACCAAAGTTATTCAGACTCTCCGGGAAAGAGGTGTAAGAGACGCAATGTCACCCACAGAATTGCGGTTTCGCGACGAAACAATTATTTCTGGTATTTTCGTTTCTTGAATGTGAAATAAAGTTAATCGATGTAAATTAATTATTCGTTGTAAATAATAGAAATAGTACTTACAATAGTATTTAATTTTGTTTCTAGAATCTAAAATACGGGAATCCTCGCAAGACAATAAAGATTCAGCTTCGACCGTAATAGGCATTTTAAATTTCTAGTATTGATTATGTTTCTCACATATGCGGTCTAAAATTTTTAATATTGTTTACGGGAATTTATTTTATAACATAAAATTTGAGAATAGAAAAAATGCATTTTGATAAAAAAAAATATTAAATTTTGTTTTTGTACAATATTTGTATAATATTTAGCAAATTATATTTTAAAGTTAATGTTTATTTTATAAATTTAATTTTACAAGAATATCAATCATACAATTTAATATTTTAAAATGTTTTAAAATACTAATGTTAGATTTACATAAAAATATGAGAGACAAATATTAATGTATCGTAATGTATCGTATTATAAATATATAAAATGAAGAGTGACAGAGTGAGACGTGACAAAAATGATTCCTAGGCACGATTTACTAAAACAATTTCATATTTTATTTAAATATTATTTTTATATTTTCAACAAAAATATTTGATGTTTGATTGCCTTCGAATAATAAATTAATTATAAGTAATTATTGATGGATAATTTACGATTATTATTATTAATCATTGACAATCAGCTGAGTGGAAATTATTGTGACATGAAAATGACACATGACGAATTGATATGCACATAGCTTACAGATTTCAACAGGTTTATATCAGGATCATCTACTTTAATTAATCTCCAGGATATGCCATTAAAATATGGTACAATTATTGCACGATACTTCGCGCATACAAAATGTAAATTACGTTTTAATCAGTTTTGCACACGTATTCTCGCTGAAACGTATACAGATTTAATGGACCTGTCTGATATAGATAAAGGGTTAATATAATCTTCAAATTTAGTTGAAATGGTACAAGCTTAATGCAAGTAAAATTAAATTGTTAATCTTCGAAATTGGGAATAAAATGTCAAGCTTTATAATTGCAGAGAAAAAAATTACATAATTTTTTTTATTATTTTTCGCTTCAAAAAATAATTTAATAAACTAAAAATAGAAATATCAGAAATATTTGGCCTTTTTCCGAAAAGCTTCTTTCTCAGTAAAAGATTAAAATTTTTTGATTGTGATTAATTAAAAAATTTAATTCTTAAACTACTTCTGTTTGATAAAGCATTGAGAAAACTCGTTTTCACGTTGCGTTCGTTATGATTTGCGCAAGTTTATTTAAAGTCCGGCCGGAATCGTCTTAGTCTTTTTACGGAAGCAAAAAAAGTGAAATGAAAATTTTGGCAGCCGTTGCCGCGGGAGTTAATTCAGCGTGAAGAACAGACTAGTTTCGCGCTGTGAATAAGCAGCAACAACGGTAGATGAGTATTGCGTACCTCGGACGTGTCATGCATTTTAATAGAAGTCACTTCGTACATTCGGTAATCTTGTATACGGAACTCCGTATCCGGAAAATGTTACCGCATATATCCATATACGCGGGATATTCCAGAATAAATCCGACCGGATCGGAAATTTTTTTCAACATGGCAGCGTTCGAGAGACGTAAGCTCGTATTCAGAATGCTCTTTTATCAATAAACATACGCTTTTATGTTTGCAACTTTATAGTATATGTAACATGAATTACATATTAAATATACGCTAACATCGTAAAAGCGCATTCTGAATGTAGACCGTAATGTTGAGCATTGTGCATTAAAAGCGACGTGTTAGTATCCGCGATTTCTTACCACTCATAAAATTATAGATGACAGGATTCACTGCGCTGTTGAAGTAACAAAGCCAATGGGCAATTAGGCTAATGGCTATCGTCCATTGATTCGACGGTAACGCCATGGTACATCTAAAACAAATTTATATTGATAATATATATTTTATATTTATAATAACGTAATATAAAAGGAAAAATAAGAACGAAGTCCTTCCCAATACGCAATACGGATGCAGGCGGAAGGAAGTTTCTTAGACAAGATCAAGTTTATAAAATGAAACAAAATTAAATTTAAAAAAAAGGCTCTAAAGATTATATCACAAAAAAATTAATAATAATGCTAATGAGAGCTAACACAAGTTAGTCATATATTATATAATAAAACGTATATATGCGTTTTATTATATATTACAAACAATTATTTGTCTGAAGGCATATACCACGAACACCAGATAACAGTGACGATTATTTTAAATCTTTTATTAAATACAAAGAATAGATGATGATTATTATCAATTCTTTGTATTTAATAAAAGATTTAAAATAATCGCCACTGTTATCTGGTGTTCGTGGTATATGCCTTTCAGACAAATAATTGTTTGTTTTTATTAGAATCACGTTTTACTTTATTTAATCGTTTTATTACATATAATTGACTGTGTGGGCTCTCATTGGTATTATTATTAATTTCCTTCGTGATTTATAAAATTGTTAATTAATAAGCTGAAACGAATTCTTAATACTTAATTAATAGACTAGATATTAAACAGTTATAAACCAATGTTAATAATACACTAAGATATAATTTACAGCAAAAACGATATAACGAATTCGATATAGTTCGAAAGAAATTGATTTGAAAATACCTTCCCAGACATGAAAGTTATTATCGCAAAATTATTGCAAGTATTAAATGTTAGATATTAAAAATTAATATTTTTTCATGAATATTTTTTACTTCATATTTCTTCTCGTTTGAAAAAAATTATTCTGGAATTTTTTATATAATTCTTATAGTTTTAAAATAATAATTTAATTTGCGTATAATGTATCATCAGCATTGTATTTGTCGCCACTGATTGGCAATGTATGTCGTGAATCATCAATATATCAATCGCTTATATCGATTCTATATTTTCAATATAAATAAAAAATGTAGAAACAATTACTTGTTATCACAATAATTGTAACCTATATTGTAATAATCGTAGAGACAAAAAATAATTTCTACTTATACAAGTTTATATAATCTTTATATAAACTATGCTTCTTTTTAGCTTGTCAAGGCAAAATGTAAATTTGATTTGTAAATGATTAATTATAGGTGATAGCACAATGTAAATTATTTATATCGAATATTAAATTGAATAATGAGCGAAGATTATTTCGTTATTATGTCAAGATTATTTTTACATAAAACGACACAGCATTGATATGTTGTTATATTTAATATATTTAGTAATTTTGTATAAAGTATTCAATTTTATTATTGCTTTTTCTTATTTCTCAAAATGAAATAGCATTCAGTTCAACTCATTTGTCTAATATTATTTTTCTTTTCTTTGTATAAGAAGAATAAGATCTTTCCAGACCGTTCTGGTATAACGGAAGTTTGAGAATTTATCACTAGATGGCTATTATTTGAACGATTATTCTTCGGTTCGGTTTTTAGAAGATAATCGCGACATTTTTACTAACGACACATAGAATGTTTCATGTTTAAATAAATATTTCATGAAAATGTGTTATATTTGATCGCGGTAGAGTCGCTTAAGTCATTCGAAACATCGAAGAGAGAATTCATTAATTTCTCGCATGCGCTCCGATATTGACAGATTCTGTTTATATAGCGATCAGAAGACGATGATTTTCGGAAGCGTGTGTGGGATGGCACAACTAAGCATCGATCGTTACATAGAGATACTATCTTATAGATAGATCACTATGTGGCAGATCTGCTCAGTTAGTGTTGTCATATCTTGAGCTTTCAGATCATCCGATAAGCTTCTTGATTTTAGACTCCCGATTGCGCATGCAACTTCGTTTTAAAATCACGTATTTGCACGCCTGCACGGTCGAGTCTTCCTCGTAGTACCGCGATTTCCAAATTTGGGGGGTAATCGATTTGGTCAGAGGTAATTTGTCGCTTCCACATGCAGGCACTGCTGATGGCGGTACGCCATCTTTTTTGTCCTTAAAATTTTTTGCAACTAAGAATTTTTTTCCTCTTTTCATGTATTAATAAATTCTTTGATTAATTTAAAATCACTTTTTAATAAAAGAAATCAGATTGAATTGAAGCTATAAGCGATTGAGAATAGAAAGAAAAAAAAACTTGTTTCACATATAATAGGTTTATTTTAATAGATTGGTAATATATATATCGAAAACTGGAACGAAAATAATATTCTCTCCATAAAATTGATTTTAAATTGTCAATTTATAAATGAAAAATGACATTACTTTGGAAGAAGACTCATATAGATTATTTGCGATAAAAGAACGCGGAAAGTTAACCAAGTATGGCACGAAAATAATTTGCGATATATTGGAGAAAAAGTCTTGGTGAAACATCTGGTGTTCCAGAAAATCGAAAATGTTATAAGTTCTCGATCGTTATACATATATTTTATTTCCACTCGTTTTTATGTCACAATTATTCGTATCAGATTTAAACAGAATTTCATGAGATTAAATACACTCAAAATTTTCCAAAAGCAGCGGATGCGATAATTATCTTTTGATTTTTAACGCTTAATTTAATTTAACGCTTGTAATATAGCATTTAATTTAATGATAACGTTTTGTAGATTTAATAAAATTGATGGAATGGGATATATTACACCTACCGAGCTTACTGTTTTTAGTCTGTCGTTTTATATAAAAATACTCTTAACATAATATTAATGCAGTTTTCACTTTGTCAGATGATGTCGATCATTCGACAACGATATCAAAGTTTAATAAGTATAAAGTATTTGATTTCAACATTTGAAATATTTCTGCGTTAATGAAAATTACGTGCAATATATTAAACATTGTTACCATGTAATGTTGCTATGCAGAACACAATATCGTGAGACATACCTTAAAATAGAGAGCAAGTGTACAGGAAAGAAACATGTCGCGAATGTGATGACTACGGCGACTAACATCTTCGCCGCTTTCCGTCGAGATCTCAGTTGACCCTCCGGGTTTCCACCTCCCGACAGTGGAATCTTAGTTGAACGACAGATTCTGGTAGACACTAAAAATTATTACAAACTGATTAATTCATTGATGATTTTATTTCTAACAATTCGAAACTAGGTACGGCATTTTGTCATGAAAGATGGTGTCTTTTCTTAGGATCGTCTTTCTGCTTCGATAAGAAATATTCGATTGAAGCTAGTCTAGAAGTTTAATTAAAATTTTTAATAATAATATACGACACGTGCAATTATTTTCAATGTAAATGTCAATATTGTATTTATTTTTGGTCAGTGTTTTGATTAATTTTAAAATAAATTTTCAGTGAAACAAATTGACAAAGATTTATTGAGAAGTTTTGCTCGAAATAAAAAAGTAAAATAAAAACTATTGTATAACGTTAAAGTATAATATATAATACACTCAAATTTAATCTACTTTATCAATCTTTATGCAATACATTTTTTCAATTTATAACTATTAAATTTCTAATTCTATAATTATATATCCTATTATGTTATTTTATTTCGTTTTATTAATTTTTATTTTCTTTTAATTAATTTTTTTCTATAAAATTCGTTTTGGAACTAATACACAGTACGACGTATCGACAAGCCATTTCCGGTCGTTTAGATCGGATAATTCAGACTGTTTTATTTCAAAAGGGGATTGCAAAATAAGCAGCTTGTATTATAATCTAGGGATATAACATAATTTCAATTTCAGTTATGGATTGGTTTTATTATCATAGATAACACGACGGAGTATATTGAATCTAGAAAGGAAATTTGTATTTACATCCCATTTATCGTGTATGAAACTCTGTAAATCTTTTCAACGAATTATTTCGAATATACATACATGTATAAATTAATATATGTATACAATGGATAAAATATCATTGTCAGATCTCTGCGAAGAGTGAAAAAAAGGACTCCCTTATAATTTTCGATGGAATGTTAGATAAATTTTTACGTAGAGCTCGCAAATGTTCTTTACTGTTTGATCGAAACAAATATTTCTTTTTCTATATACTTTTTTATAACTGTTATCTAAACAACGGAGATATTTCATGCTCTATTAGATAACTTCTTTTATATGTTCTAATGGTACACAAGAAAAGGATAAAAGAGAAAAGATAAATTTTTTACTCTTTCTATTTACAATAGGATTTATGTTCTCTGGAGAATTTTACAATCGTACCAGATTCATGTTCTCAAGAGAATTTTTCAATCTCAAGACATATGTTCTACATTGATAGTGTGGAAAGGTTAAGCTGTTTCGAGTACAATGGATTGTTATATTATTTAGCAGAGGTGTTCTCAATGAAAAGAAGCGAAATTAAATGAAATAATAAATACGAAATATAGCATTGTGCTATTTAAAATCGATTAGATAATTAATAGGTACAATTATTAAAATGGAATCTTCCTTACAATTATGTCCTGGAATATCGCTTTTCCAAAGAACGCGTACAATCTGCCAGTACGCGACGCTCATGAAAAGCAATGGCATCGTATACAAAAAGATCAGCTTGACAATCGTGAAGGTAGTTTGACTTTCTTGACTCCACGCACAGACACACTGCGTGAATAATATAGTCTGCACTCGACTGTTTGACGGCACCGTGTGCAACACCAGTAGTTCTGGAATGTCTAATCAAGAGACACACGTAGAATATTGATAAAATTGTATTTCTGTTCCACTTGCGAGCGAATTGTTTTGGGAAACCGCTAAGAAAAAATTAATAAGGCAAATACACTGATTTTATATCACTGAATCTTAAATATAAAATTTATAACACTTTACAATTAAATAACGTTTGAATAACATTCAAATTTTACGAAATAAAATATAGAGAGAGTATCTTCCGTTAGACTTTTTATTATAGTGTCAGAAGTTGTAAAGTAAACATATAGTAAATATAGTAAATGTTCTGTAAATATAATAAGTATTCTGTAAATAACGTGTTCTGTAATTTTCGTATGAAATTTCTCAAGCAAGAACATTTGATCCATATAACAAACTTTTAAATTGAAAATGGAAAACTTTTTGCGAATTAAACTTTACATGTACGGAATAAATAGCAGCATCGTTCACTTTTCATTGAGTTCAGGCAGACTAAAATTATATTTATTGATGAATTAAAATACAACAATTGATATACATGTCAACAATAAGATTAGTTTTCTATTAGCTATATATATTTAAAAATAATTAAAATAATTTTTCAGTTATTAAAAATACTTACGCATGATAATATATGCTTACCAAAAAGCAATGATATCAACCAGATTACAATGATAGCGGTTTTCGCTCGGGCTGTCGTGGACTTGAATCTCAATGGGAAACATATAGCGTACCACCGGTCGATCGATATGAAAGTCAACGTCAAAACGCTGATGCTCACCGATACTGTCTAAAATAATAATCTTTGATCAGGACAATTTATCTGTAATTTATTTTGTAATTTATCAGAATAATATTGCAATCAAATTAAGTTTTAAATATATAAAAAAGTTGTTTCATTCGTAAATGAAATAAAAAAGATATACGAATAAAAATGCTATTCATAGTTAAAATCGATCGAAAACTGATACATGATCGAAACCTTTCCAATCTTATAAATTTTTTGTGACTATTCCATTTTTCTAATGTAAAATTCACATGCAACGTTTAAAGATTTTTCTTCGAAATAATTCATACAGTAATAATACAGTAATAATTCATGTATTTACAGTATTGATACCATTTAAAATTTAAATGAAAAACATTCATTCATCCATTTACATTATACAATAGATGAAGTCTAACGTGATAGCATATCACAATTTAACGTACATCCAAGTCAATATAGATAAAGGAATGAAATAGAGAGAAATAGAGAAAAAGGGTTAATGAGATTCATTAGCAGTTTCGTAAATAGCAACGCGCAATTTTCTTGTTTCCGTTTGTTTCTACTCTTGCCTTTCTACCCGGCGACAAGAGAGAAACTATCTGACTGTCAATTGATTTATCAAAGAGACAGAATTCAGAACTTCGCAGCTGCTTCGTATCTGTATTTGTGACTGTAAAACACAATTAAATATCATTCTAGCACGAAATTTACAAGAAAATCTTATATACCAGAGAAATGTTTGAATCACACGCGCATAAAATTGAGACGAATCTCCGGTACAGAGAAGTCAGAACGCCTACATACATTCAAAAACAAATTAATATCTAAAGGTTATAATAAATATATCAAACATCTTCATTAAGAAAAAATTAATTGGCTGAACATGAAATGGTTGTCTTTCGACAGGGCGGCAATAAGTAAATGCACAAATTTGTGTAAAAATTTCGCATTTTTATCGCGTTGATTTTTATTTTAAACGAAAGATGAAAGTAAGTGAATTTGAAGTTACAAAACTAAAGTTAGAAATCCATCAAATGTGCATTCGTTTTTATTAAATTTAAATTCATATTTCTTGTCATCGAAAATTGTGCATTCGAGATTTGTTTGGTTTCGTTTGCCTGGCTTCATCGTTTACAGTGCAATTCTGATTTCCGATTCCTTTCAAATCTTTCTATTTATATTTATGAAAATATCTTTATGTTTCTGTATTTGTATTAGGTATACAGACTTGGATCAGATTAAGTTGATTGATTCGTAGCAAAGATGATTGAATTAATAAAAGGAGAAACATTTTTATTTGTATAAAATTATAATATTTTTATGTATAATACGCGTATTATTAAAATAAAACTAAAAATATTTGAAAAAAATACATAAATATGATCACGAGGTAGAAGAAGCTGCATAGCTATATCAATGGTATTAGTAATATCTTAGAGATATAAAATTGTTTAGCTTTACTAAAATTAAAAATTATATACGAAAAAATCTGTTGTTATTATACAACTATGTTTAGAATGACTAGAATAATACAGAAAATTTTAAGAATAAGTAAAATACATGATGTGTTTAGCGTATAACGGTCCGCATGATTTTTCAGACACTCTCGACAGTTAAAAAAAAAAGTTGAAATGTAAATATTTGTCTTTTATATAGACTACAACATGCGATAAAAAAATTTTTTTTAATGTTTTTTTTATAAAAAATCAAAGGAATTTAAATTTTTTAAATAGCACCATACAATATTTTTCCATAATATTGTAGGGTTCTTCAATACGAATTCAAATCACTACCGAAATGTCACTTTTATTGATGTTGTATTGATTTTATTGATACTTAATATCAAATTTGCAGCATTATTTGTAATATAACTACTTATACAACTACTTACAATCTCTGACTAGACACAGAACATAATCTTTTAATAAAATATGCAATAAATTTAATAAAACTTTAATAAAAGTGACATTTCGATAATGATTCGTCTTAAAAATCCGTACAATATCATGGGAAAAAATTGTATGGTGCTGTTTTGAATTTAAGATGCCTTTGATTTTTTATAAAAACAAATTTTAAAAAATTTTGTTATCGCATGTAGTAGTCTGTATAAAACAGATGATTATTTACCTTTCAACTTTGTTTTTTAACTGTCAGAAGTGTCTGAAAAATCGTGCAGACCGTGGGTAAACATAAATATAAATATAAAACATATTATTATAAATTATATAAATTATATTATTATAAATTATATAAATTATATTATTATAAATTATATAAATTATATTATATTATATAGGTTATAAATAATATTTTTCTATTATACGTTGGATTTTTCTAGGCTGCGTTTGAGAAAGTTGTTACCAGTGCTATTACATTATTCAATTCTTGTTTTACGTCTAATGAACGATAAAATGACACAAGCGTTGATAGCGCGTTTTTCAAACACAGTCTCTTATTCTTTCGATTGATCAGTAATTGCAAGCAAGCAGTTCTGAATGCGAAAAACAAGCGCGGTGAATTACTAATGTTTTTTTATCTACTGTCGCACGTTACGTTATAACGAAGAAGAGCCATATTATTTCGCTTTTATTTTCATATCTGACGCAAAACAATTTTGTGTGTGCACGGCAATGCAGCACGTTTTAATTAAACCGCAGCTATCACTTGCTGTTCTTCGCATTCGCAAGTGTTGTTGTATCCATCACGTGGGCGCACGTAATTCGTCCGATAGTGACATTGCACACGTGGAATATAATATACGTGGCACTTGCGTGACGTGATCACGTTTCTTCGTATCAAAATAATCCCGTAATCTTTCCGGCAACCCCGTTTGGAGTCACCCTCTTTTATTTTATAAACTATTCTCTCAATTCTTATGAAACTGGCCTGTGGAGTAAAACTGGTCAGTGGTACGTATAAAGTTACATTATTAATTTCCAAATTGACTTTTAAACTAATTATGAACCCTGTAACACCAAATTCTCCTTCATGGAGGTTTTCCTTTTGATATTCGATTTTGTCAAATTTAGAGATACTAAAAACCATCTCAAAACCAAGTTTCACGATAATAAAATTATTTTTTGAAATTTAGAATTCTCGTACCATATATATAATCCAATTTTCAACAACTCCGAAACTTTTAAAAAGCAAGAATTTCCATAAGTTACTTTGTTGGAAAGCTCTTGTCCTCAAAAAGTTAATTTTATGAAAATTACTCCTAAATTTCTCTTAAAGTTCTATCCTTGCTTCAATATTGAATGAGATAAAATGAAACCTTTAGAAATTTAAATTACGTAATTAAAATTAATTGACGTAAAGCAATTATATATAGTAAATAAATTTCTTTTGCTTAAATAAAGGATCGAAATTTTGATAAAATGTTTGTCAATGACGAAATATACGCTGTGATTTCAAGATAAAATTCAGGAATTTTTATTTTTTAATAAAACTAAATCAAGTTTTTCTCGGTAAAAAATGATAGAGTTTCGAGTTATAAACGATTGAAAGTAAAGAACTTTTCATCAAATTATATATAAAATAAAATGATGAAACACATTTAACCAAAGTGCATTAAAAAAAAATTAATATTATTGAAATTTGCCCATTTTTTAACTCTTCTGATAAAGTCGTTATTTTTTGTGCTGTAAATATTATGTGTATTTACGTCGAGATGTAATTTTGCGTGGAGAAACGGAACGTGGCTTCTGTTAAAATCGAGAAACTATCAGAACACACTTGAAATTGCAATCATAGCATTACGCGTCATGCATTAGCGAATTATGACGTAATTTTTTGCACGAAAACGAGGCTTACGATAGTGTCAGAAACGTCTAAAGCGTCTCTCTGAAAAATTCATCGTGGTCGATTGCGTCGCGAGACAGACATATTGCACGTAAAATATTACTCGGAGCATATCCGGACGCTCGAGAAGCGAACTGTCCACGTTCTTGATATAGCACATACGCCGCAGTATGCCACGAGTTTATACGTTAAACCGTACCGTATTTTTGCTCCTCCTCTTCCTTCTTTTTTAGTTTGTTTCCTCTATATATTTTTTTTATACGATAAATCGAGCTTTCATCGGCAATTCGCCAGAGTTTTTCACCGTCTGTGATGGCAGGAACTTCGATTTACCTACAATTTAAATGTTGCGAAAGAAAAATGACGCCCACGTATGTCGCATACGGGTCGATGCATACGATGCTGCGACGAAATTATACGCCTGTGAAATGAGAACGCGTCGATCACACTCGACTGATAGTCATTGATCTATACGTAGTGCAAGATATTCAGGTATTTGCTTAAAACTCGCGAAAGCAGGTTTGCTCTTTGCGGAGCAATTGCTCGTAAACAATATTTTAGAGACGCCCGATTCGACGGAGTTAGGAGAACATCTGGCGGTCTTGAAGTAAGTTTATGAAGTAGGTTTATATTCTGAAATAATCTCTACGAGAGGAATTACTTCTTGTCATATCTTAAGTGATATGAGTAAGTCAAACTCTATCTCTCGAAGTACTTACTTAAGAACCACCGGAAATTTTCTTTCGAATTGATGCAATTCTCATTTTCAATATGTTATTAATGTTTAGACATATTTTGAAATAGATACACTTATTTACGATAATGTTGAAATAGTTTGAAGGTAAGCAATAAAACAGGCGTCTCACGCAATAGCTTGTGTTTCCGTTCGATCTACTCGTTTTCGCTAATCTCATTATCGTGAACATGTAAGTGCAGTTCAAATTTGAAGTGAGTTCAAGCTGCGAAATTGGATTAATATAACTACTTTGAGCAGGCATGAATGAATTCTGCACGCAGTAATTTCCTGTTCTTATTCGAGCACTTCCGTTTTACGTTAGGCGATGTGACGTCACATCGACAATATTCGGTGCAAGGGCTATTTACATTAAAACGATTTAATTTTTAATTTAAAATAATTTAATTTTTTTTTTTAATTTTGTTTTAATAAGTAAATATTGTAAACACATAATAATTAAAGAATAATACTTATACTGGTTGAA